GACATAAAACTAGTCTTCCTGTCTCATTAATCTAATCAAGAGAGTCCCACAGATGTGCCCAGAGACCTGTCTCCCAGGTGATGTTAGACCTCATTAAGGTGACAACTGAGCTTAACCAATGGGTCTCCTATGTAGCCCTGGCTGGCTTTGAACTCACAATCCTCCTACTTCAGCTTCCTGAGCGCTGAGACTACAGTGTGCAGTGCTATGCCCCTCAAAGAGTAATATACCAGGCTAGAGAGATGGCTCAGAGGTTAAGAGCACTGCTACTCTGCTAGAGGTCCTGAGTTCAATTCCCAGCAGCCACATGGTGGTCTGCAACCATCTACAATTAGATCTGGTGCCCTCTACTGGCAGGCAGGGATGTTTCATTTTGATGGTACTAGCAAACCCAAGGCCATTCTCTAAATGATCTCTCTACAAACAAGTGGTGGAAACTTTATATCCAACTCTCTTTTAAGAATATTAACCAAGTCCCTGGGGCTTAGTTTGCTGTGAATTTTTACTTTGCACTGAAGATGCATTGGGTTGCAGCAACCTTGTAGTCAAAGGATGCTTGGACTTCACTTTGTGCTGTTTCATCAAGAACACTGTACCCATCCCACCATGCAAGACTGACAAGGACAGATTGTTAAACTTGTCATAAGCCCCTTGTTCTTTTCTGCGGTAATGGTCGGGGGGGGGGGGGAGTCCTCATTGTTGGCATGCATTCAGAATCATCCGGGGGGGGGGGGCATCCTCAGAAATGCTGCTCTCACTCCCAGCCTGGAGCAGGAATGTTGGGCACGGGTCTGCTATGGGACCTTGCAAGGTTTCGCGATGGTGACAAGAGTTCAAGAGAAGACTCATCTCCCTCCCACGTGAACCACTCCTGGTGGCTGGCACAACTGGGACTCCAATCATTCTCTGCCAGAATGACACCAACGTTTTCTGTGCCCCTGATGAGGACTGGGTAGAGCCACAAGCAGGAGACACAGTGATGGCGCACCTGTGATCCCAGCATTGGGAGGTGGAAGTTGGAGAATCGGGAGATCAAGGTCATCCTAGGCTACATGGGGGAGTTTGCAGCCAGCCTGAGTTGTATGAGACACTGTCCTAAGACAGTGGGCCAGAGTGATGGGGAGAAAGGGTCGGTCAAGTCTGGTTTACACTCCCAGCTCCAACATGAATTCAGTGGCCAAACTTGGAATGTTGCTAGACTTACCATAGAAACACACAGTAAATGTGAACCTTAGGACCCAACAAGCTATTTTTAGTGGACATTCTAGCGTATGAGATGTAGTTAAACTTGTAAAAAAAAAAAAATTATATATATCCCAAAAATTGAATCAAGCCATGAGTCTTGTGTTTTATCTGGTGATCCTACTTAAGGGGTTCAGCTTCTCTGAAATTCATATTCTGAATGAGGAAAATGAGGGGCCTGACTGGACCACCCTATGACTTTAAATATCACATCCTGCATCCCTGGGAACCTTTCTCTCTAGCACCACCAGGGGGCACTGGACTCCCCTTGCTGCCTCCTAGCTTGGTGACTGGCTGGATTCTGGGTCCCGCTGGATCTGGGAGCACCGCTGGAGATCAGGTTGTAAGGGCAGCCGGGGTCTGGATGTGCCTGAAGCCATCTATCTAAGTAGAGAAAGAGCAATCACAGAGTCCTTAAGATATTACTCAGTTGTCCAGCTGCCCACTGACCGTTCTGTAGAAGAAAAGAGGCCCCCACCCACAGCCGGATGGATGTTCCATTTCCAGTCCTGTCCAGGGCCCTTCTGTCTCCTTTGAGTACTCCTATTCTTCTGTTTCAATTTGGACATATTTGACCCTCAGAGTCCTGCAGAACTAAAGCAAGAACTAAAGCAGACACTGGGTAGCCTGGTACAGCCTAGCAGGACTGAGATGCCCCTGAGTTCCTTCCCAGAGCACATGCGGCCTTGGGGAAGAAATATGACTGTCGGGAGGAAAGGGGTCAAGGACAGGTCTAGGCTGAGGGAATAATGGGGTTTTACAGTTAAGAAGAAAGTGGTCAATGGTGGTGGTGGTGATGATGATGATGATGATGATGATGATGATGATGATGGTGATTTATTGGCCTTCTGTACCCTGCACCACAGCCTGAGAATAAGAAACATTACTGCCAGGATTTTCACAGGTGGACCATGAGATTGGAGTGTTGGCAAACACTCTATGCTGTTACACAGTGCCTGGGAGGGAAGGAGGAAGTGAAGATGAGGGGAAGGAAGGGAAGGAGAGAGGGAAGGAGGGAGGGAGAGAGGGAAGAAGGGAGGGAGAGAGGGAGGGAGGGGTCCTTTTCTGGTTCCTTTGACCCAGGTATCTCCCATCTCAGGGGTCTGGTTACCTCCTCTCCTGGAAATGGTGAGTCTTCAATGGTCCCCCGAAGACCCACACCTCCCATAAGGGAGGGACAATCACCATTTTAGCACCAAGATGATTTTAGGAAATTTCTTTGTTTGGCCTTAATTTATTTCTAATTACTTGTAATTTGATTTTGCTTTGAACTGTGTGATTGTCAAGGGCAAGATTTGATTAGGTTTTTTTAAAAGATTTATTTATTTATTTATTTATTTAACGTACATTGGGGTTTTGCCTGCACGTATGTCTGTATAAGGATGTCAGATCCCCTGGAACTGGAGTTACAGACAGTTGTGAACTGCCATGTGAGTACTGGGAATTGAACCTGGGTCCTTTGGAAGAGCAGCCAGTACTCTTAACCACTGAGCCATCTCTCCAGTCCTAAAATTTCATTTTTAGTAAGAAGGATAGAACACATCCACTAATGCATGGCATTGTTTCTCATTGTTTGTATCTTTATTGTATTTATCTTTAAGGTCTATCTCTAGGATATAGATGGGTTTTGGGGTGTGTGTGTGTGTTGTTTTATTTTTAAAATAGGGTCTCATGTAGTCCAGGTGTCTTAGGTTTTCTATTGCTACAACAAAACACCATGACCAAAAAGCAAGTTGGGGAGGAAAGGGTTTATTTGGCTTACGCTTCCATATTGCTGTTCATCATAGAAGGAAGTCAGGACAGGAACTCAAACATGGCAGGGATCTGGAGGCAGGAGCTGATGCAGAGGCCCTGGAGGGGTGCTGCTTACTGGCTTGCTCAGCCTGCTTTCTTATAGAACCCAGGACCACCAGCCCAAGGATGGCTTCACCCACAGTGGACTGGGCCCTCCCCCATCAATCGCTAATTAAGAAAATGCCCTACAGCTGGATGTTTGGAAGCATCTTCTCAATGGAGGTTCCCTCCTTTCAGATAACTCTAGTTTTTGTGTTAAGTTGATGTAAGACTAGCCAGCACACCATGCTAGCTTCCAACTCACCTGTAGACAAGGATAGCTTTGAACTTCTGGTCTCCTGCTTCTACCCCCCAAGACTGAAACTATAGTTTTGTGCCACCGTTCCCAGTTTCTTCTGTTCTGGATTCAAACTCAGGGCAAGTCCTCTATCCACTGAGTCACAGCCCAGTCATGGTCTAGGTTACATGCAGCTGGTCTTCCATCCAGGGTGAGGATGTAATTTCCTTTGGATATTAAAGGGCTTTGGGGTGGGTATTTATTTGTTTTGGTTTAGTTTTTGAGACAGGGTCTTGTTATGTATATGGAAGGCCTAGAACTCACTACGTAACCCAAACTGACCTCAATTTTGAGATCTGCCTGCTTCTGGTCCCACTCCCACCCCAAGTGCTGGGATTACAGGTGTCTTAAGTAATTTGCTTTAAAGGAATGGGAGGACAGAGCCGGGAGGACAGGGGAGCACCAAGTGTAAGGACAGATGCTCCTGTCAATTCCGTTGGCAGAAGACCGGCTCTATGATGGGCTGCAGCGAGTGTACCCATCATCCTGCCCTCCCAGAACCCTCAACTCAGTCTTGATTCTTAATTCTTCAAGGCTGGATTTTTGGGGGTCTTTTGTTTGTTTGTTTTTGTTTGTTGTTTTTGAAATTCTGAAGATTTAATACAGAAGATACTCATTTACAGGAATGGGAGGCATGCTAAGTTCCAGCCCTTCCCTGTGTCCACTGCCTCCAGGAGTGGCCAAGTCACAAGTCACTAGAACCCAGGTTAGTTGAGAGCTGGGCTTTGGGAGTCAATGCTGCGTAGTCCACAGATGATCCGGCCCAGACTGGACAAGGGGCCAGACTGCATCAGTCATCCATGGGGTCAAGTTCTCACTCTCCACCTTGCCAGAGGGAAAATTCAGTTTCCACACCTCTCCAAGGGGATTTTGGGGAAAGGGGCCTGAAACATCACACTAGCTTGTCTGATGGACACAAGCTTCATAAAGTGTTCTGTGGCTTTGGGGACCTAGAATTTTTTTTTTAAACAGGGTCTCATTATGTAGTCTTGGTTGGCCTATAACTATACAGACCAGGTTGGCCTCAAACTCACAGAGATCTGCCTATGTCTGCCTCCCAAGCTCTGGGATTAAAGATGTGTGCCACCACACTCAGCTACCTAGAACTTTCTGTGAAGAAAATGTATCCTCTTCCATGGGGTGAACAAAGCTACCACATAGGGTTCTCAGGCACTTGAAATGTGACTGGAATAATTAAGGAACTAATCCACCCCGTGCAAAATCTCATGTAGGCCAGGCTGGCCTCCAGTTCACTATGTAGCTGAGGATGACTTTGAACTTTCGACTATCCTGCCTCCATCTCCTCAGTGCTGGTATTACAGGGGTTCACCACCACACCCAGGTCATACAGCACCGGGGATCAGTCAAACCCAGGGCTTTGTGCATGCTGAGCAAACACTCCGCCATCTGAGCTACATCCCAGCCCAAGAACTGAATTCTTCATTTGCTAAATTAGTGCTCACAGGAGCACTGGAGCCATAGCTTCCTTGTGTATGAGTGTGTATAAAAACAGAACAGTGTGTTTGCATCTATGCAGGTATGCACAAATACGCCCATGTGTCTGTGGGTCGGGCAAATAAAGTGCCTGAGACTAAGACACACACACACATACACCGTCACCCAGAACGGCAGTTTCTAAGTCGTTACTTTTTATTTTGAAAGATTCGTCAAGCTCTTCACGTCATTGTGAGAGTTGGCATGATTAATGAGAAGCAGCTTTTTCATGAAATGCTTGGAGGTGAACAAATTCTTCGCCTGTGAGATCCGACCATTCCACTGACTTGGAAGTTTCTCTTGATTAGTAGATGGTTAGTAGTGGGGTAGGGGTGGAGGGCGTGCTAGAAACTTCATGACAGTCATCTAGATGTGAAAATCAAACCAATTCGCCAGCTTCACTTTCTCGACGTTACAACCCTCTTTGTCTTCCTCTCGAGTCTCACTTTCCTGAAACAGCCTCCCAGTGCCTGGAGCCCCCAGGAAAAGGCCTGAACGCCCATAACCGGCAGAATCCTGTGAGATGTTCTGGTCCACCCATAGCCCCATGGCTTGCCAAAATTTGAACCAACAGCCAAACATGGAAAGAAACTGCCTGAAGAGTGGAGGAGATAGTGAGGTCTTGGGCTGCTGAGAGTCTGCACATGCACATCACAGCTCTGGAATATTCTCTCAGTCGTTGACCTATGCTACCATGACTATCTGGGTTCTGACTGGTGGATCCTCAGGTCTCAGAACATCCTTGTATCCTGTGTCTGTAACTTCCCTTTGCCTACCTCCAAACCATCAGGGGAAGACTCCCCATGTAGCCCCCACCCCAAAATGAAATAAGCACAGAGTCTGAGTGGGTGAGTGTTAGAGTCAAGTGGAGAATAGAAATGAAAGCTGAACACCTCATGCTTGTGGAAGGCAAACTTGTGCGACTCCATTTCCAACACAGCCCGTGAGACACTGGGCAGTGCAGAGGAGGAGGGGCCTGTGGATGCGTCACACCCCAGAGTCAAGTTATGTGGGGAAATGTCATGGCTTAGGTTATAGTATCCTTTTTTTTTTCTTTTAGCACCGTTAATGTATTCAGTTAAGTCTATGTTAGCACCTTATCCCCAGGCAGAACAGCCAACCATCCAAACATTTTAAACAAGGGGGGGAATGGAAGAGAGGGACATCAGAGGGAGAGAGAATCCAGGACTGCAGAGGGTGGTGTGAACTTAGATCACCAGGTCCTTGTTGATGTCCTCTGCAAAGGAAGAAGAGGTGGAGTTAAAATGAGGCTCAGCCACAGGAAAGCAGAAGGGGCTGGTTGAGAAGCGGACAGTAGGAGTGGGAGCAGGCGAGGGTAGCGAGCCGTGAAGACGATCAAAATATACTATGTAGATGTATGAAAACGCCATAATGAAAGCCATCACTGTGTATAATCACTATGCGCTGATAAAACAGAGAGGCCGGGTGTCCATCCTAGGGTCTGTTAGATTCCCTCCCATCCCAGGACCAGTGACCAGTCAAGGCCACTGAGAAGAGGGTGAGTGGGACCTTGATCTCCCTGACCCTAGCCTGTTTCTGTCTCTTGAACTGGCTGCCAAGTTAAACTTCCTGTTTCCTCTCCCCAAGCCAGTTCCCAAAATAGCACTTAGATGGAGTGAGGACTAACGTGTGACGTCCAGGAAAGAGACGTCCAGGGCGCAGAGACTAAGAGAGCAGAGCTGAGTTAAACAGGCAAAGGAGACAGGACAGACAAACGCCAGACAGAGCCACCAGAAGGGAAGTGACAGCATCCCATCCCTCGGGGGCACTTCTTCACCCTGAGCCCCGACACTTACGCTCCTTGATGCCGAAGCAGCCGGCCCACTCGTCCAGGGCAATGTACTTGTCACTGTCCAAGTCACAGGTCTCGAAGAAGCGTGTGGTGCAGTGTTCCATGGGGATCAGGGGAGCACGCAGTGGGGCCAGCTCAGTGTGGGACAGGTACCTGGCAGGGAAGAGAAGAGAGGGTGTGAGCATGTGAGAATCCACAACCAACATGGGAAGCCAGTGGTCGGAGTCCAGGGCTGGGATCCTGGCTTTACCCGCAGCTCTGCCCTGGGCCTATAGTGCTATACTGCCTGACTCTGAGCCTCAGTTTCCTACTCCATCTGACAGGGGAAGGAATAGGCTGTTCCAGTTCTGAGTCTCAATGACTTCTTTGTAAGGGTCAGTTGGCTGAGTGGTGGGGACATAGAAGCAATATATTCAGCTCCCGAGTTATAGTAAGTCAAAATCTAGTGAGATCACACTATAGACTTTTCAGTGTTCATACATCGATATATAGATGCTGGTACCCAGAAAAGGGTCTAGAAAGAGATCCATCAGTCCTGTAACAGGGCTGAGTTATAGCTAGGATATAGCTATAACTAGTGTGGAGTTATAGGCAGTGGAGCCCCTGCCTAGAATCCCCCACTGAGAATCCACCAGTAGAGGATTGGGGGACATGGCCCAGTGGTAGAGTATTTGACTAGAATCCTCTAGGAAGGGGCTATGGTGTGAGGTGGCTCAGGGGTCGAGCACCTTCCTAGAATTCCCTAATGAGAGGCTTGCCCAGCATGTTCCAGGCCCTGGGTTCCATTCTCAATGCCAAAAATAAGAAATAAGTGAACGTCAGGTAGTGGTGGTGCATGCCTTTAATCCCAGTACTCAGGAGGCAGAGCCAGGCGGATCTCTGTGAGTTCGAGGCCAGCCTGGTCTACAGAGTGCGTTCCAGGAAAGGCGCAAAGCTACACAGAGAAACCCTATCTTGAGAGGAAGGAAGGAAGGAAGGAAGGAAGGAAGGAAGGAAGGAAGGAAGGAAGGAAGGAAGGAAGGAAGAGAAAAAGAAACTGTCTCTTTTAGCCTGG